TTTGTTTGTTTGTTTTTGAGGCTCTGTGGCCCAGGCTGCAGTGCAATGGTGTGATCTGAGCTCACTGCCACCTCCGCCTCCCAGGCTCAAGATATTCCCCGGCCTCATCTTCCCAAGTAGCTGAGACTACAGGTGCATGCCACCATGCCTGACTCATTTTTTTAATTTTTACTTTTGTAGAGATGGGTTTTGCCATCTTGCTCAGGCTGGTCTGGAACTCCTGGGCTCAAGTGTTCTACTGGCCTCAGCCTCCCAAAGTGCTGGGATTACAGGGATGAGCTACCACAACCAGCCTGCCCTAAATTCTTTACTCTTTGTAACTCATTTAATCTTTACAACAGCCCCATGAGATGGATACTGTTGTTACCCTATGTTACAAATGAGGAAACTGAGGCAGTAAGTTGCTTGAAGTCACATGTCTGTAAGTACTTCAGACAGAATTGGAACCTAGGCAGTCTGGTCCTGACCTACGCTTTGTTTGTTTGTTTGAGACTAAGTCTTGCTCTGTCTCCCAGGCTTGGGTGCAGTGGTGCCATCTTGGCTCACTGCAACCTCTGCTTCCTGGGTTCAAACGATTCTCATGCCTCAGCCTCCTGAATAGCTGGGATTACAGACGTGCACCACTATGCCTGGCTAATTTTTGTATTTTTAGTAGAGATGGGGTTTCGGCATGTTGGCCAGGCTAGTCTCAAACTCCTGACCTTAAGTGATCTGCCCACCTCCCAAAGTGCTGGAATTACAGGCGGATGCCTTACTTTGCCCCCCTTAGAGGCATGTATTCCTAGCTATTTTAGAAATCATGTCTTCTGTGCTTTCTTTTACACAGAGGAGAATTCTAATAGCCAAACTATTTCAACAGGCCCTCATCCATGTCTAGGGCCTGAGTGAATTGATTGAATATGCAGGGTTGTCTCATTAAGTGAAGATGAATTAGGAGCAAAACAACCAAATGATGAAGATGAATGAGACTGAGACAATGACTATAACCAATGCCACATTCTACCGACTTTAGGATGTGGTCTCCTGCCTTCTGTGGGGATGACACCCTCTGATACCTGCATCCACTGTGACCTTGGGGAGGTGATTTGAGTTCCCAAAGGCTCCATTTACTTGTCCGTAAGAATGGGATGAAAGCACACACCTCACAGGATTATGACAAGGGTCACATGAGGTCATATGTGGAAAAGCCCTTTAAAACCTACAAAGCGGCCAGGTACAGTGGCTCACGCTTGTAATCCCACCTACTCAGAAGGCTGAGGCAGGAGAACTGCCTGAACCCAGGAGGCGGAGGTTGCAGTGACCCGAGATTGCGCCATTGCACTCCAGCCTGGGTAACATGAGTGAAACTCCATCTACTGGTGGTGGTGGGGGGGGGGGGTTGGGGTTTCTAAAAAGAGTTATGCACATGGGTGGTAATGGTATTTTTCTTCTCCACTCTTATTTCCCTCTTCTTAGTGCAAAATATTGCCCAAGATGATATATGGAAATCTCTGCTTTGGCAATTTGAATGAATTAATGCAAAATAAATCATTTATTAAAACATTTGTGGGCCAGGCACGGCGGCTCATGCCTGAAATCCCAGCACTTTGGGAGGCCGAGGCGGGCAGATCACGAGGTCAGGAGTTAGAGACCAACCTGACCAACATGGTGAAACCCTGTCTCTACTACAAATATAAAACTTAGCTGGGCATGGTGGCGCGTGCCTGTAACCTCAGCTACTCATAAAGGAACATTTTTGAGTTTTAAATTTTTAGAATACATGATATAAAGTTTTGTGACGCACAGAGGAGCAATTTTCCTCTTTGTTCTCTATTCTGTGGATGTAAAAAATCCATTCCTGTATATTTGTTAGGCAATAAATGTACCATTTCCAGGACTGTAATAAAACCTAACAGGGACAAACCTGCAGTCTCAAAACAATGGATTTCTTAGCCTCCTTGCAGCAAGAGAGATCACTTACCAGAGGAACCTGGTGTCCTCCTCAAACAAAGGTAGAGGCAGGGTTCTTACAGGATCTGGAGGAGGATAGAGGTCAGGTACAATAAAATGAAGCAGTGTTGTGATAGGCGTGAAGCACACAAGATTACGTGTAAAGCTGCAAAGGGGTTAACATCAGAAGCCGACCCAGGGTCCTGTTCCCTTAGAAACTACGAAGTTAAAATAAATGTAGGATATTGTGCTTTAAAAGCGCCTTTCTGAAAAAAAAAAAATCCTGTTTCTGAAGCTCTGCACTTGGGCTGGAAATTGAGGCTGCTGCTTTGTGTCAAAGAACATTCCAGTCTCACTAACATGGTTTCAAACAGCAAAGTTTCTGACAGTCCATGATTTTAGAGAACAAGTTTCTCTAAAATCTGTAGCTTACAGTTTCTTTAGGTTTGCAATCACAGAGGAGGACTGTGGCTGAGAGACACTCCTGCAGGTGGCCACGGTGAGACAGGAAGGAGGGCTCCCAGGTGGACGTAAAGATGGTCCTGAAGCTGTAGGTGGCACTGTGCGTGGGGCATTTTAGGTCCAGTTCAAGCCATGCTCCTAGGGTCATCCTCACACATCCCTTCACAGCGTGGCCCTTGATTAAAAAGTCGGCTGGGTGCGATGGCTCACATCTGTAATCCCAGCACTTTGCGAGGCTGAGGTGGGTGCATCAGCTGAGGTCAGGAGTTCGAGACCAGCTTGACCAACATGGAGAAACCCCGTTTCTACTACAAATACAAAAAATTAGCTGGGCGTGGTGGCACATGCCTGTAATCCCAGCTACTCAGAGGCTGAGGCAGGAGAATCACTTGAACCTGGAAGGCGGAGGTGGCAGTGAGCTGAGATAGTGCCATTGCACTCCAGCCTGGGCCACGAGACTGAAACTCCATCTCAAAAAAAAGAAAAAAAAGAAGGCCAGGTGCAGTAGCTCAGGCCTGTAATCCCAGCACTTGGGGAGGCTGAGGTGGGCAGATCACCAGGTCAGGAGATCAAGACCATCCTGGCTAACATGGTGAAACCCTGTCTCTACTAAAAATACAAAAAAATTAGCAGGGCGTGCTGGCGGGCATCTGTAGTCCCAGCTACTCCAGGGGCTGAGGCAAGAGAATTGCTTGAACCTGGGAGGTGGAGGTTACTGTGGGCCGAGATTGTGCCATTGCACTCCAGCCTGGGTGATAGAGGGAGACTCCATTTTGAAAACTATAATAATAAGAAAAAAGTCATTGTTCCCTTTAAATAATGTCTTATTTTCCTCTGGCTTCTGTCAGAATTTGCTCTTTTTTTTTTTTTTT